GTTATCTTTATGTGTGTTATGCTCTTGGTTTCCAAAAGTCATTAGGATGAGAGTTTTCTCAGGAAGGGAAGAAGATTGCCAGTCACTAAGGGTTCTGTTCTTTATCTGTGAATAGGTTTGAAGTTTTTCAGCAGACATACTTTTGTCCTATGTAGCATCATGTGGCAAACTAAAACTGCATGTAGGAAATAGAAGAAAGGAAGCATAGACAAACCACCAGCTTTGTCGCCGATGACAGACGTGTATGGTTTAGAATGCAGCTGTGGTTGACTTTCTTAGAAGAAAGGTTTACTGCTAGCATTTTGTGGCTCCTGGGTGTCTTACTGTAATTTGCACAGTGCTTAGCAAAATGGGACTGTGAGTCCCCTGACATGAGTGCAGTACAAGTGGCTGCCCACAGAGCAAAAGCACTATTTTTGCCTTCCAGGAAAAACTAAAAGATCAGTAATTCAGTGGAACCAGGAGAAACTAAAATGTCAGTATTTCAGTGGAAATGAGTTGCAGGATTTGTAAGAGTCTTGAACTTTGGGAGTATAGAAAAGCTGGTGATTCTTGCATAATCTGCAATTAATTTTATCTGGTACCTGCAGTGTTAAGATCCACTACTTCCATCATAGTCAATACATGCGCTCCCAGGCAGCATGTGCAGTTCTGCAGAGTGAAGTGACTACTTTGTTTGCATGAGGGCTGAGTACAGATGAACTGCTTATGTTCAAAATATTATGGAAGTTGGCTTCCTGTAAGAGGTTTGGTCCCATAGCAAGGGCTAAAGAAGCTATGAATTTTTTTTTTATTATTTTCTTTGAAGTATTATTAATTGCAGTTTATTAAAAAAAATTCTTTCTGTTTTAGTTGAAATACCTAACAAGCAGTACTGCTGCAGTTTACTTGGAGTATGTACAACGAAACTTACCTGAAGGGGTTGCCATGGAAGTGAAAAAGGTCTGTTTCCACCCCACATTATTAACTTTTATGAGTCCTGATGCAAATACCACTAACTACTGAAGTCTTCAGAAAGTCAGCCGAGAAAATGGATGTAGTTTGATAGGAGAATTTGCCGAAGTATTACGTTAAAGAGGCTGTGTTGCTTGAAAGTGCCACTAGGTGGCGTTTTAAATCTGATTCATGTCTCAAACCAGAATAAATAAAGTAGTTAGATGTTAGCTGGCTGGTACAGTAAATGGTGTTTTTCTTTCCTTTAGACTAAGATAGAGAAAATACCAGAACACATTCGGAAACCTGTTTGGGATACACTACCTCAAGAAGAAGAAACTGAAGTGAAGTCATGAACACACCAAGTACCTGGCTCTGTTCGTACTGAAATTCATTGCTCCTATCAACCTCATTTACTGAGATAGTCCATTATTAAATAAAGGTTCTATTATAAAGAAATTATATAAACTCTTGTTTCATTAAGTTATTCTGCTCATAACTCCAGTACATATGGACTGAACTGTTCTAAAGTTTGACTGTGTTGTGTGACCAGTCATGATGGTCATTTATAAGTTTGTAGAAAGGTATAGTTTATTTTTACTTATATATGTAAAAGTATGTGTATATATACATAAATATAAATTCACTGTCTCCTTTTGATACTAGACGGCTTCTGAATGCTGAAATAATTGCAAATCCACTTTATGTTTGTGTAATGTTTAATATTATGGATGCCAGATTGTTATCAGTTTATCAATTCTGGATAAACTAGTTTGTTGGATAAACTATTTCCCATCTTTTTTTCTCCTACTTACACATTTCTCTAGTTTTGCTTCCTGACACATTCCTCAGTGAGTGCCAACAGCAACACTGCAACCATTGATTCAGGTTTTGTCTCAAGTAATCATCTTTCTACTGAGCAGCTCCTGATTTTCAGTAAGAAAATTTGTAGTTGCAATAAAAAACCCCATTCTTCATACCATTTATAGACATCAGAGTTTGAGCATGCCGTGTTGTGTTCTTAGGAGTCAGACATCCAAAGTTTAAATGATCCCTGTCTGAAGTGCCCACTTTTGCATCCATATAGCAAAACTGTCAGGATCAGCAATTTCATTCCCTTAAACAAAGGCAGTATGTGCCACATGGGGTGTTCTGTGCATCACAGCAGATCTGTGTGCTTCTCAGGAATGTATATCACATTCCTACCTTGCTAGAATTCTAGTTTGAATATGAAAGGAGTGATTCACAGAAAGAGAAGACATGAACTCCTTTCTTACCTTTCTCTTTGCTACAAGCCAGCGTTGTAGCGTACACATCTTTCTCTTCATTACATCCAAAGAAGTGCGTACAATATAAATAAATAAGCATTTGACTTTATAAGCTATATATGACAGTCCCTTGTGTAATTTACACTGCCTAAGTAACTTAGGGTAAAAATTGAAGTTTTAGCTCTCCATTCATGAATTTAGATAGAAAGGGTGTGACCAATGCATTTGTTCCAATTAAAAACACACTAAAATGAAAAAATCTCACAAGGGAAAGGGCAAAACCAGAGGTGGAAAAGCAGGTGTGAAGAAAGGAAGGAAAGGGAGTTGCTGTGAGACAAAAGAGTGAAGGCAATAAGACAGCAAGGAGAAATCTGTTCTGTTTAGATTAGTAGAGTTCTTTAAAATAAAGGAAGTGGCTTTTAGAAACCAACTGTCTCTGGAGCGTCATGCAGATAAAAGTGCTGGAGATAAACAGGTAGCAGCAGCAGATGTCTGCTGATGGGGTTTAGTTGTGGTTGCTGACAGAATGGGGTCAGCAGAACAGCTTTCAAATAATGCAAGCTTTTCTCCTTCCTTTTCTTTCCAATATTATTGCTGGAATCAGAGATGCTGGTAAAAAGAACATTGCTGGTGATACGTTACCATGTTAGCAAGTAGGAGCTCCAGGGTGATTTTACAAGTTCATTTTAAAAATTTGATTTAAAATTTTCAAGTGGAGAGATCTAATTTAAGAAAGAGATCATATAACAGTGGTTACATGTTCACTGGTCTATGGGATATCAGCATCAGCGCTGCTTTACTGCCAATGCCTCACCACAGAGAAACTGAGGTGTTCATTTCCTGGGAAACACATCTAAGACACACATTAATGGCACCACAGTGTTTTAAGTAATTTAATCCTAAACATCCTAAACAATCTACTCCTCAGGTAGAATTCTTCTCACACAAGGAATGGGGAGGATGGAGGAAGGAGTTGAGCAGAAAGAGGGAAACAATCCCAGGAGTATCATTGGTTTCAATGATGAAATTGAAGCTGGGATGGAGAGATGAAAAAGGAGTCAGAGTAGACTTCAAGCTACAGGACCAAATCTTCTAAGCTGCTAGAAAAACTTTCCCATTATGGTGAAAAGACGTGTGAATAAGTGGCCACAGAAGCAAGTTCTGCATTCAGAACATCACAGAATAATAATGCATTTTTAATTCATAAGGCAACATCAAAAAAGCAGACTGAAACTCCACAAAGTAGTGTGAAGTGTCATCATAGAATTTTGAAAAGAGTGTGCAAACAACACTGGAGTCTTAGCTACAGGACCAAGGTCCTATAATTTTCCCTTTTTAACACACAAGAGTGCAATCCTCAGAGTTCCTGAGCTGTCCTGATTCAGCTCTGAGGAGACTCCTGCTCTTCCTGCTGTCTCCCAATGCCAAATTGTAAATCAAGAAACAATTCTGCAACACAAAAATATACTGCCTTTTTCACATTCATGACAGAAGTGGGATTGATTTGCAGTATTTTTCCCCTTACAGAGCATGGCTGCCGACTTCACCAAAAAAACCTGGTAGCTGGAAATCGTTTATTTTAGTGTTGTTACATAACACGTTGGCTTTGACAGAACCTGCCAAGGGAATTTCTGCTGCTGGGCACAGCCAACTGGTGCTGCTGCCTGTATGCTGTGGGTAGTGGGAAAAGCAGGTCGGCAGAATGGATTAAGACAATTTCCCCCAAACCAGAGGGGTTTATTGAAGGTACAGACCGTGACATTAACAACACACAGGAGTAACTCCTAGAGGCTTCTGTGTAACTGAAGTTAATGTGCTTGCTTGCTTCAGTCAAATGCATGGATGCCCTCAGGTCAAGATAGCCAAGAAGCTACAATCCAAATGCTAAACTCTTTTTCCGTGTATTTTTCTTCCAAAATATTCCATGCCTCCATCCTATTTGGAATTACGTTGCTCTCACTTCTCGTACTCCCATAGACAGACAAACCTATTGTGTGTGCTTTGCACTTTACAACACCATTTACAGTCCCTCATTACAACAGACTAGAGGAGTTACAGCTAGGTCGTACAGAAACACGGGGATATGCGACAAAGAAGTTTAATGCAAAGAACTGAAAATTAATTTATTTGATACAATTTATGGTTGTTTCTGAAAAACTCTCTCCATACGCAGTAAAGCACGCTTAAGCAGCGCGTACGTACGATTCAGCAGTGACTTGTTAGAAGAGCCAGAATTTAGTGGGGTTTCATTTGCAGCTTTTTTGATTGCGCCTTTTAGAATAAGGCCGTCTGAATATTAAGCACTTGTGTTGCTGTCTCTAGCCTGGTTGCAGAGGTTTTCCCAGAGAATTTTAGCAAAGCACTGCAGATCACGGGTCAGCTGGAGAAGGTGCTGTAGCTCCACTAGCGTGTACCTGAGCTCCGCCAGGCCGAGCAGCGCCCGCCCCGCCGCCACCACGCTGCTCGCCGGCCTCACCCCGGCTCCGGCAGCGGAAACGCGTCACGGCCCGCACCAAGCTCGGGGTGGCGGCCGGCAGCTTCCGGACGGGGTTGAATTTGGATGCAGTCTGGGACAAGTGTTTTCTGCCGGTACTTCGTGTTCCCCAGCGCGGTTCGCAGGCACAAACGCGCTCCCGGTGCGGCACGCGGGCCGCCGCCGGCGGGGCGAGGCCCGGCCCCTGAGCTCACCCCCCTCCGCCTCTCCTTCCAGCCGCCCCCGGCCCCGCCTTCCCAGGCGGCGCTGCCCGCCCCGGCATCACCGTGCGGCGCCGGGCCGCGGGCACCGCCCCGTCGTGCGACAGCGCAGCGCGCCCGGCACCCACGTGGAGCGGGCCGGGCCGGCATGGGCAAGCGGCGAGCCGGGCGGGAGCTGCTGCGCAGCCTGAGCAAGAAGCAGAAGAAGCACTTGCGGGAGTTCGGCGAGGAGCACCCGTTCTATGACAGGTGAGTGCCGGGCTGGGCCAGCCCGCGCGGGGCCGCCCCTTCCCCGCGGTGCGGGGCTGCAGGGCCGAGGAGCCGCGCTCAGCCCGGGGCCGCTCCCTCTCACGCTTCCCCTGGGCTCCCGAGGGAAGGAGGGAGCTGCAAGGCGCACTGCCGCTCCTGAGCCGGGAGTCTCGAAAGCAGAACGGAAAGCAGGAAATCTCGGCTCGGATTTCCTTGCAATAAATGTGAACTCTTGTGGTGCAGCCCGGAGGCTGCCGCGAGTAGTCGGGAGGCGGAGGAGTGCGAGGTGGCTCCCATTTTGATACCAGGCTGGTCTCTTGGCTTGTCAGGGTTCCAGCTTTCCCACTGGTTAGTGCGTGCTCTTTTCTGATCTCGGAAAGAGTATGAAAATAGAGCAGCGAAGATTTGTGTGACAAGAGCCATTCCCTTCTCCGCGGGATGCCCGTCTGTCAAAATGATCACCTTCCTTATATACCCATGTGTAAACTTCTGAGGAAAGAGCTGCTTAGTCCAGCTGCTGTGTGGTGTGTGGTGCTGCTGTAAAACCTTTAGGAGCATGCACACAGTGTTAAGGTTTGTTGTTTGTGTGTCCCCTGGGACCCTCCTGGCCTGTGTGGATTTGGGATGGAAGGCCTGCTGGAGGGAATGTCCTGTGTGTCACCCTGTACGGTGATGCTCAGTCCCACACAAGACTGCATCTTTTTGAAAGAATTGAGGTTAGTTTAAGCCCAGCTTATACAGTGGCTTCTTTGAAGAACTGCAGCCCAACACTGGTTAATTAATGCTGGTTTTCCTTTAATTTGTGTCTTTTTCCCACTTCACAGACAAATATTTAGTACTAGAAGTAGTTTTTGTTTAAATTTTTTAAAAACTACCCTTATAGCTAGATTCTTTTAATTCCTTTTGAGACATCATCTTCTGATTAACACTGGATTTTACTTCAAAATTTTTGTTGATCAGTTGTAATGCCTGAGCACTTAGGCTTCATGTACAGAGGGTTGCACCACCTGAGAGGGTGACCCTTAAGGGTAAATGCCCAGTCTGTTTTCTTATGGAGACATGTGTAATGGTTTGGTTTTAAGCTTTCCTTTAACTTCCTTAAACTTGCACAACTGATCAATTCACTCTTCCCTTAATTTCTTTCATCCTGTGTGGAACATTATTGGCAGAATAAGGTATTTTAGTGCTTTCTTTTCAGGGTTTCTGGAAGAGCAGAAGCAACTCAAATATGTGAACTGGTAATGTATTTTTACTCCTTCCTTATTTTTATCTTTGTATAGTTCAGTGAAATGAAAAACTTAGCATTTTGTGTTTCCAGCTTATTCAGGCTGATTAAGTTGTTCCACTTAGAAAAACAGGATTTAGGAGAAAAAGATCAATGTGATTTTTGTGTGGCTCTGAACTGTTTTCTGTAATGTCTAACTCAAAACTGTAATACCATCAGAGGGCAGAAGCAGCAGGAAATAACAGCAGTTCTTAACTTTTTTGTGTATTACTTAGTCACAGTGAAAATTAGATCATGCTTTAAGTTGTTTCAATAATGTTGATAAACTTAGTGTTGCATGAGTTAGGAGACTTTATTCTCTGTTGAACAAAGAAATATATTAATACTTATTCTTCTTCAGATTGCCAGTGCTTTACTTTTGTTTCAGTCAGTATTTGGTAACCTCCTTTATCATCAGATTAATAAAAGGTTTCAAAGTTTTAATTTGGAAAAATTAGTTACTCTGTTTCATTTGTTTCCTTTAGCAATTTGGGGTATTAATATAGTATTCAGTGATTTTTTTTTTTCCTTTTTGGGCTAAAAGAAACTAAGAAAAGAGTAAATGGTGTTGTGTTGATACTCATGGTTTCACTGTATTTTTGGCTATAATATGGACATTGGTTTGTGCAAGCCCAGGACAGAACTGGGTCAAGTCTGGCTCGCTCAAAGTGTGGAGCTGTACAGCTGAACTAAACCCGACCAACTCCCCAGGGAACCGTTTTCCACTGACAGCTTTTTCACTTACGTTCTTGAGAGCCAGAAGCATTTCCAGCATGCTCTGTCCCTTGTATGGGTGCCTTTCTACAATTTTCAATCTGTGTGTGGTTTTCTTAGAAGAATCTGGTGCTGGTTCAGCAAATGCCTTGTCTATGAAGATCAAGTGTCCTCACTCAGCTGAGATGGAAAGCACTGGGTTTTGTGATACTCCAAGTCAAACTGGTGCAGAAAGAGGCACTTCAGTCTGTCTCCCAGGATACTTTCAAAATCTAAATGGAGGTGTCCAGCATAATTATTGGCATAAAATGGTGGGTCTTGAAAACCCCATTGCATCTGTGAGAGGGTAAACATAATAGTGCAAGTAGAGGTAAGGATATTTGCTTGCTGCTTTATAGGCTGTTACTGTTGTTGTGTTTATACTTGTGTTTTTCTTTCCAGTCTGAGGATTCTGATAAATCGAGTGCAGAAAGCGATTCAGAGACTGAAGTGGAACAGGTCTCTGGGTATCATAAGCTCCTGGCTACCCTGAAGACCTCACCTGAGTCTGAGAGTGAGGAAGAGGAAGATGAAAGTGAATCAGAAGAAGCTGAGGAAAGTGAGGCAGAAATGGACGGTGGAGGGTCCCAGGAGACTGGAGAAGCAGAGGGAGGTGAAGAAGATAAGAATGATGTTCCAGAGGAGGAAGAAGGTAGTTTGTCTTTTCCCATGCTTCTTTGGTAAATGTTGTTTGACTAACGTATGTTTTTAGCCAAGTTCCTGGTGTAGACTGGCTTGTTGGCTGGGTGCTCTTCTGCCTTGGAGACTCTGTTGCTCCATTGGCTCTGTGTGGGTGGGAGCAGCAGCTGCTGAAGGATTTAGCAGGGGAAAGGGTAGCTGTGCTCATTTTCCGCCAGACAGCCTGCTGCTGCTTCCTCAGATGTTGTTTGTGCGGCAGCACAGAGGAAATCCACATGGAGCAGCAGACCAGGGGTTCTCACCCACTCATGGGAGATGCAAGCTGTTCTCTCAAGCAGCATCTGGCTTGGCTGTGCCACCGAGAGGAGGGAAAGGTTTGCCTCACAGCACAGCACAGGAAAGAACGTGGAAATTGGAAGGAAACTTCCACTTTTACGGTGAGGTATCCGCATTGATGAAGCCTGCAAAGAAGTGCTGGGAGAGAGGAGTCAACCTTTAATCATTTCCAGTTATTTGGTGTCTTTGGAAACGAAAAGTTAAATTCCACAAATTATGTAACATTTGGCATGCTAGCCAAAATAGAATACAAAGCGTGCTTTTATCTTTTCTGATAGAGTTTTGGGAGGAAAAAATCAGGAACTCAAAGGGAACAGCATCTACAGACAGTAACTTTTCCAGGAGAAAATAACCTGTTTCTTTCTGACAGCCACAGACACAGCAGAGCAGATGCTCAGCCAGGAGCAGGCTGATGGCACAGATATCTCTTGTGACCCACGTCATGGAGTAATTGAGGAGTTTACTGATGTGAAACATGAATCTGAATTTAGCTTGGAAACCAATTTCATGGAAGAGGAGAGTGGAGATTGCAATGCAGATAGAAGAGACAGCAGTTCTTCACAAGGTCTTTCAGCAGGTAAAAAGTTGATTGTGTGTCTGTGTTTAGGGATCTGCCTTTAGAGGAGGAGTATCTGTAAACATGTTTAAACTGTCCAACACCCTAGCAATAGGCTGTACAACTTCTAAGTTCTTCTACTACATTATTCATGGTACTGCCCACATGTCAGATGGTTACATAAGGGACCCTTAATGCAGCTGTGCAGCTGAACCATTTGTTCTCTGTAGCCCCTGGGGACTGGGATTCATGTGGGGTTTCTGCTATGACTGGTAAAGTTTGAAGTATCAAGGACTAGAAAAGTGTGTGGAGGGTGTTGTTCTGCTGCTTTAGTAGTAGTTTTAAAAGCCACTGTAATACAAAGAGCTCTGCAAGCCTGCACTTGACTAGGGAAGATATTCTTGGCACAAACAGCGCAGGAGATAATCACAAAACTGACCTGTGAGGGCATCCTTCACATCTCAGTGGAGTTAGAGGTCAGATTCTGAGAAGCTTGGAGCAGCCACAGTAATTTAGACAAAGCGTTCTCAGAATTTTGAAGGTTATGCAGAGGAATCTGGTTGCACCAGGATCAGGAGAGTATGAAGCCTCAGCAGAGCACATGTAATGTCTTTTAAGGGTGTATCCCAGAATCTCAGTGCACTGATGGATGCATCTGAAGCTCAGATACTGGAGTTGTCCCACCATATGTAACAAAATAACTGTGTTGCAGGGATGTGCGATCCTTCAGCGACATGGCACACCCTGGCACTTGCACAGCTTCTGCTCATATTTAATGCTCTGTGCCTTTAATATCAGATGGCATAGTTTGAGAGAGAGAAATATGTTTGTAGCATCCCTAGTGATGCTGGCTTGTCATCTTGGAGCAGCAGCTGACATTAGATCTGGGAGGCAGCCTGGGTGATACATGAAATGTGTGGAAGCATCAAAGGGCCATGTGATAGAAAAAACAGCTCGTTCTTGTTACCATGAGAATATGACTTAGGCTGTTGGCATTGCATTTTAATGAGAACGGTAGCTCTCCAACTGCATGCTAAGTATCCTAACAGCTTTGTTCCACCTATAAATGATGCACTACTCCTCAGTGGGTTCTTGTAGCTTGGAAGTGTCTTTATAATCTGTTGCAGAAAATTAATCACTTAAGATAGCAGAAAGGGGATGAATTTCTTCTCTGATCCTGGGGTCACTAAAATTCCTGAAAATGCATCCCATTACTCCCTCTACTTTATTGGGAAAATGCTGGAATCAGTAAAACTCAACTAAGGAGAGACCCTGCAGTACAATTAAATGATATCCAGTTCATTTGCATTTCTGAAAATATTTTCTCAATTTTTTTTTCAGTGTCATGATCAGTAAATATCTTGACTTTTGCCTGGGTAACGTGTGTGGGCTGGCTATTTGTTGGCGAGCACCAGTGTTCCCTAATTAGTTTTCTTTATGCAGCAAATGCTGCTGTGCTGCAAGCAGGATACAGGGCTTGGCTTTCAAAATTAACTTTGCATGTGACTTTGTGCGTGCCAGTGTTTTTGAGTATAATATGTTTTAACAGTTTTTTTGCCTCTCCTTTCCTTTAAAAAAAAGATGCTTATTAAATAAATTAAATTTTTTCTCACTCCAGGCAATTTTTGCTCCCCTTCTCCAAAAGTTGCCTCATATTTCTCTGTTTAATTACAAACTGTGTTCATATTGCTGGCCAAAGCCCTGGGCAGAGCTATTTGTAAATTAGGAAGGTTAGCAAGTTCACTTGGGACTTTACTATTGACAGCCTTTTTCACCTGCAAGCAATGGACATGTCAGAGCTTAAGGCAAAAAATTGCCACTGTTTTCCACTACATATTGTTTTCCTGTCTAACATTTGATTAGTGCTTGAAAATTCTAGTACTTCCATAAGTGCTTCTTTTTCTTTTTTAAAAGCAATCTGTCAAATCTGTTCTCTCTGTTCTTTGCAGAGAGAATTTGACATCCTTTCTCTCATCTCCAAGTGCTTTGAAATAACTAGGTTTAATTGTGGTGTTGGCCAGCATGGAAACTGTTCATCTCATTTGCAAATCCGTTCTGCAACTCGATTCTACTATTAGCTGCAATAGTTCTCAGGCTGTTTTTTTGTTGTTACTGTAAATAGATCCATTTAAACAGCACATGGACAAAGAACTTGAGGAAAAGGAAGTAGAGAAAATGTCTGCGCTTCCTAAAACTTCAAGTCAAAGCCAGGTAATAATGTTCTGTAGTCATCCAGCATTCCTAAGGATGCCTGGATTAAAACAATCCTTTTTTTATACAGGTGAAGTAGATCACAATTGTTGTTAATAGCTGATGGCACTAGAATTATCGAGATTTTTGTCACTGTGTTGTTGTTGAACTGTTTTCTTCTTCACTTACTGCTGACCAAGAGTTAAAATGTGCACTCTGCTGTTCTGGAGGCATATGGTGATACATCGGAAACACGTAGCTTTAGCGTTTGAGCTGTAGTCCCAAAACCTTGACGAGGGGTGGAAACAGAGCTTGTTTCTGAGTGGTGACAGCACAGTGCCAGGGATGTGCTCTGCAGCTGAGCTTCTGAGGTGACCATGTACACTTTTAAAAGTACTTATGATGCACTTTCACATTCTTGCTTCAGGATGGCTCTGTCCCTGTACACATTTACAAGCCAGTGAAGGGGAATTTATTATTTACATTACTTCATTACTTAATTCTGGCAATAACATGTGAATTACAGTACCAGAAAACCACCTCAGTATTCGACAGAGAATATTGGTTTTCAGAATACTCATTTTTAGACAAACCTTTGCTTCATAACTTTTCCACATCTGATTTTGTTTTGGAGAGTTGCCTTCCATTCTGCTTAGCCATATGCTGGCTGACATTCACTGGAAGATACCCAATGGTTAGTTAGTCAGAGAGAAAGCTGTGATTTTTTTTTTTTTTTCCAGTTTAATTTATTTTTTTGGCACATGATGGCCAAAATTACCAGTGCCACCTGAAGCAATGCATGATATATCTTTGCTTAAATTGGTCTAGCTACTTTACGGGGACAGTTGGGGACAACTTGCATAGCAGAAGGCTTAAAGTTTAGAGTTTTCCCCTAGTACACTGATAGCTGTTCAAAATCAGACAGACATCCAATAAGTCTACATTTAACAACTGAATCACAACTTCTGGGATTACCCCCTAATGGGTTTGTTTTCTTCTTTGATCAAAGTATGTACCTCAGTGGGGCGAATTGGTAAGCACAGTTGGACTCCAGGGTTCTAATCTTGTCCCTGGTTTGAGCCACTGATTTGCTGGGCAGGTTAGGAAGAAAATTCCTCAGTTTCCTCTGGCCTGGTAACAGTTACAGACATATCATTGCAAAATCCATCCATATCTACCAAGCTGAAATTTATTGTTATTTATCCTGGCAGACTCTAAAAGGGATTGCATATTGAAAAAAAGGTTTCCACTTGTATTATGAAAAGATAAATTCCTTAATTTCATGAACTTGATTAAAGTTGATATTACCAGCTGTGGTGTTATGCTTTCAAGTGTGCAAGGTTTGGTACATATGACTCCTCAGTGTTGTTGGGTTATTATTTTTCAGTGGCCAAGGCTGGGTCAACTCATTTTTTCTTCCACTTTGGAGAAACATAAAACTTTGAAAGCGGACAAAGAAATTGATGTGAAACAGCTTCATCTCCACAAGCCTTTGGAATCCACTTGGCCAAAAGTGAATAAACAATTTCTGTCTGCAGTGGACAAACCACTTGATTCCTCTTTTACCCCATTACAAAGAGAGCTTTTCTGTATCATGAATTCATACCGGGACTTGTTCTATCCAGAAAGAAATGCTTTAACAAATGGAGAAGAGATCCGGCACACTTACTGCCTGCATGCCTTGAACCATGTCCTCAAGGCCAATGCCCAGGTGCTCAGCAACAATGCCAAACGGAGGGATCGAAAGCCAGGGACTGACACCGATGACCACAGGGATCAGGGGCTCACCAGGCCTAAGGTAAGAGAGCTCTGATTCCCTGATCCCCACCCTGGCCACCTGCTCTGGCTGTACAAACATCCTGGTAGTAGTTTACCCACAAGTATTTCTGTTGCTGTTCTCTCAGGTGATGTGTTCCTGGGCATGTGCTTTTCTAGATCCCTTTATCATGCCTGGAAGCTGTCCTCCATGGCCAGGGCAGGGAAAATGCCATGTGAGAAGCAGTGAGCTCAAGGTTGTTAGCCAGCCTGGTTCTATGCCAAGCCATGGGTTTGACTTTTTTTGATTCCCTATCACCAGAGATTGACAAGTTTTCCTGCTTCCATATTTAAATCTGCCAGTGCAGACAGGTGCCTCCACATCAATCTTCAGTATCAGTGCAGGTAGTGTAGGCTGTCACTCAATGTGGCATGTGCCAGAAATTCTTTTGTCCTTAGGCACTTGGAAGGACTTGCCTCCATGGAAGGATCTTTCTGTACCTAGGAATACCTCAGGGAATCCCAGCCTTGCTGTCAAGGCCACCTGTTGTAACTGGGGGAGTGGGCCTCAAACCAATCCTCCCAGGATTTGCAGCGTCCCATAGTTGATAACGAGGTGGATTCAGCTATGGCAGCCTGTCACCAGTGTGCCGGCTGCCTGTTGAACAGTTCCAGAGTTGAGTTTCAGTGTTTGCTGCATGCCTGGAAAGTCTTTGGTTTCCGTGTTGACTCCACCATCAGCTATTTATGTTTTGGGGTTCTGTGCAGAGACTGTTGCCACCCACACAAGAGCCAGCCCTTGACCCTGTCTCTGTGTCACAAGGCAAGCTCTTGCTTGCCTGGGGCTCAGGGAGGAGAGGAGTACGTGCTTAGTTTTCAGTTCCCCTGTACTGGTACCCTGAGGGAACTGAGGAACCAGGCTGAGCTGCTGGCCACAACCAGTTCAAGAGCTGTGCATCTTCGTGCTGCTTGTCAGAATGCTTTTGTTTGATTGTTGATCACGGGGGCAGATCCAAGCCAGAAGTTTAATTAATGTACATTTAATGGCGACATAATGGGTTATTCTCTTGTAACTGTTGATCTGCTCAGGTACTGATGATAGTGCCCTTCAGGGAGTGTGCTCTGCGGATTGTGCATATTATCATCAGTCTCCTTGAAGTGAATGACAAGAAAAAAATAGATGTAAGTAATAAAAAGCGCTTCAAGGGGGAGTTTGGCTCTGACCCGGAAGAGAAGCCCCCCAACCTGAAAAGACCTGAAGATTATGAAGCCGTCTTTGCTGGCAACATTGATGACCACTTCAGAATTGGTAATGACCTACTGAACGGATGATTTTTAGCTTGTACAGAACTGCTAAGTAGCAAATTTTTCCCAAATGCCTAAGAGGTGTCAGGGCTGGAAGTTCTGGTGAGATTCTAAGCTGCGTGGTGTTCCTGCTGATTTTGCCCTGGCAACCTGGATTTTTCTGAAAATCTTTCTTGCCTTGCCAGAACTTAAAAAGGAAGAGAAAATAGAGAAGTAATTATTTTCACATCAAGTTCAGAATAATTTAAAATGCAATGACAGCTTTATTCTAGCAGGACTGCCCACACCTCATTTTGGAGATAGCCTTGATTATGCAGCAAAATCTTTTCATGTTATAAAAAAAAAATATTTTGGGTTTAATTAGCCTGTTCACAATGTCTCATGTAATGGTTGGAACAAAATTAAAGCTCAATACTGAGTAAAGCAGTTTTCTGCTGTGCTTCCCGTGGTTTTCATGGAAGCAAATGGGTAGCAGCAAGTAGGAGTGTTGGACAAGCAGAAAATGTGAGACTGTTTCATAATACTGTAATCTTATGCTGTTTAGTAACTCAGTATGCAGAGAACTAGCTAGTGGCTTGGTTCCTGGAGCTGCTAAGATGAGAAGGCAGTTTTTCTAACTTGACAGATCAGAGGCTTTTGAAATAGTGCACCTTGAAAGATAAATTGGCACCCCAAGAAATGTAATGATACAGTTGAAGATGTGAGCAGGTCGCACTCAGTCTTTCTTCCTTCCCCAGTGAATATCTCTCAGATGAGAGCATCTTACTTTCAGTAGCATAATAATTTTCCTTTTAGTCCTCTCCCGTACCACACTCTACTTGTTCCACTTACTGAGTGTTAAGAAATGATTGAAGAAACTTTCAGTGCTGTTAACTTGCAGAAGCAAATTATAGAAGCAGAATAATTTCTCTTTCTTACTGTGCTGCACACCCTGTTACTTCTGCACAAAGATCTAATTTAAAGCACATTTGTTATGCCTTACTGAAACCTCCACTCACATTTTTAAACAGAAAGAAGACTTGATGTTTCTAAACTGTGTATATGCTGTGACAAGTGATATCTTCTTCCTGGAAATTCAACCAATTGAACCTTTATGATTTTATTTATTTTTCCATTTTTATCCTTGGGTTGAAATAGACAGCAGGAGGGGCCCCTACTGCTGCCTCTGAAATTGTTGGAAGGGCCTTCAGCTGTACCTGTGCTACCTGCCTTCACATGGACAAGGAGAGAAGTTGGAGAGACTTTCTTGGGCAGATTGAAGGGGATGGTTTGAATGTGGTCAGGACTAGCTGCATTTTTAAGACCAGAAAACTGTGGGTTTTAGAAATACTGCCATGTAGCTATGACACAAACTCCTTTGATTCCTTCCCTTTGGTATCTGTAACATGAGAGCTGACGGCTTAAGCTGGTTCAGAATGTACCCTGCAACACATAGTGTGAGAAGCACTACAGGTGCAAGACTTTAGTCACTGGAACATGAAGAACCTTGTCCTTTGTGGTTTGGTAGCAAATCTTTTAGCCCTGTGAATAAAGGCAGTTGATAGTCAAGAGATACATCCCAAATCTTTCATGACAGATTAAAGTAATATATAAATAATTCCTAAAGGCAGAGACCAAAGTTCAGTATTCAGGGAGAAAGGAGTAATTCATAATTTCTGGTTGGTTTGTTTTTTTTTTTCTTAAGTTGTTCAGTCTCCTCATTACCCTGTTCAGCAGAAAATCAGAAACAATGTGTTTCAGGTAAAAATTTTCATTCAGATGATGAAAAATATTTTAAAAAATAATACAGAAATGCTTTGCTAAACTACATGAAAATTTTCCTAATGCTTGTCAAATGGGGTAAGCACTTTCTGGGTAGAGTTTCAGACAGATTAGTTGTGTCCAGCTGTATTCATCGGTGTGGGGAGAGGAAATGGGGGAAATTACTGCCCTAGAGCCTCCTGGAAGAATGTGTTTGATAATTGATGTTAACTGAGAAGTTGCTGTTGGTATTGTTGGACAGGGGTTGCGATCCTGCAGAAGAGCATGAGACTCTATGCACCCTTCTACTCCTCAGACATCATCATTGCCTCTCCCCTGGGCATCAGGACTGTCATTGGTGCAGAGGGGGAGAAGAAGAGAGACTTCGATTTTCTGTCATCAATAGAAATCCTCATAATTGATCAAGCAGACATTTACCTGATGCAGAACTGGGAACACGTTTTGGTGAGTTTTCCACATATGTATTCATTTTTGTGCTGTGCTGTGTCTTGCTGGTCTTGATGTTACTCAGTTTTGGCAGTGAGCTGTATAGCTGTTTTTTACTGATTTGATTCTGGGCATGGATGTTCATTTTTTTTTCCTCCCTTCACCCTAATATTTTCCTTTTACTAAGAATATTCTTTCTACAAATTTTGGGTAGCATTCAGGACATGTTTTCTTTGAAACCTAGTTTGGTGCTTTAGTAGTATATTTCATCAAAGGTGTTTTTTTGGACAGTTTTAATTATCTTGCAGCAGGAGAATGATGATTCCTATAATCACATCTGGGAGAAATTATGCCAGCTGTCTGACTGCCCAGTGTCTCAATCAGATTGCAGCCATGTTAGGAATCTGTGCAGCCTAATTCAGGTTCCTCCAGAAAGCAAGAGGAGCTGGTGCATGTCTTCACAGACTGCAGACATACTAAGCACTAGTCATGTCCAGAGTTAAACAGTATGAAGGGTTTCCTGTACATTTAATGCAAAAAGAGCTCTTGGATTGTCGCTAGTACCCCTCCTTTTTGGCTTTTGGTTAATAGAAGTTTTCTGGATTGAAATGGTAAGGTTTTCTTTTCCACATAAAAACACCTCCAAGGTACCTGGACCAGAAATTTTGACTATACAATGTCACTGTGCATTTTGGATGAGTCCAGAAGGTGGTCTTTCCTCAGGAGTCACAGAAAAGGGGCACATGAGCCTACACAATATCTGAGGAATGAGTCTTGGAGCCTGCGTTCTGTTTTTCCCTTTAGGTGCAACTGCCTGCCAAGTGGTGGCAGGGATGCCAGTCCTAGGCGTTGTTCCCTGAGGGCAAAATGCAGTGAATTTCGTCAAACTCTCCCCAAATGTGATGAGAGCAGAGCTGTGCTTGGGCTTCTTTTAGCTCAGAAACCAATGGGCCCATTGACTTTAATACAAACAAATCCATTATACTTGCCTCAGGAGATTATTAGGAGGTTACTGCTCCTGGTGACTAAAGAGATGGTAGCTTTCAGTTCTGTGTCAGGAAATCAAGTAAATTGCTCTTGCTGTGGTCAATAAATTCCAGACCGTGGTGTCTTGGGAGATGCTGCTTGTTTATATTTTGTGCTGCCTTGCTGGTCCCTGCCCTCTTTCCTACTGCAGTTAAGGCTTTTGCAGGCAGTCAGGGATGTCAGCAGTGATGTGTCTCCATCTGTCTGTGCAGCACCTGATGAAGCACATTAACCTGCTGCCTCTGGATTCCCATGGGGTGGACTTTTCCCGAGTGCGGATGCTGAATCTCAACAACTGGTCCAAGTACTACCGGCAGACGCTGCTGTTCAGTGCTCTCCAGGACCCCCAGATTAACTCTGTCTTCAACAAACACTGCTTCAATTACGTTGGGCAGGTGAGTAGCTGGAATGCTGGTGTGGAAGGGAGGGGGAGAGGAAGAGAAAATCCAACATGTAGAAAAATTCTGTAGCTCAGTTGCTGACCGTGTATGCCTACTATTTCCCTCATCCATCTGAATCTCCATGACATTGCATACTGTGCCAGAGGCACAAAGAACTGCTCCTCAGGTAGTAATACTTATTTGATACTTTTATTTCATAGTAGCTGCTGCTTCATGTCAGAAATCGGATTTTTTTTTCAATTTGACAGAGTCAAGTTATTTTGTTTTACTTATTTTGTTGTTAAATGGAGAGTTTATCTGCTTCCTTTTTATCTCCTACTGTGTAAGATGCATGTATTGTTAGTATTTTGAAAGAAACAGGAGCAAAGTAAAAACTTCAGGAGACTGTCTCAGATATATGGGATTCAGTGCATAAGCAGTCATCGTGTGTTTAACAGACCTGGTTTTTCTATCATGACTGTAGTTTTGTACTTGAGTTTTCTTAAAAACAGCCTTGTGCTGTCAGATGCCAGCTGCGAAAAGCTGGCTGCAGTGTGCCTGCCTTTGGAATGCTGCTTCCCTAAACATCCAACTTCCTTCTCACAGGTGGCTGTCCGCAACGTGCCGCTCACTGGCTCCATCAGCCACGTGGTGGTCCAGCTTCCTCATGTTTTTCGGCGATTAGAAGCCGACAGTGTATCTTCTGTGATAGATGCAAGGTACTTTGTGTCTTGGACTGTTTTGCTGTGCTCTAATGACTGCAGTTTCAGATTTAGTGGAGTGTCCTGCAGAGCACACTGTGGGTTCACCACAGAAGTGCATCTTCTTCAGCCCACAGGTGTGGGCTGGGCTCTGCACAGGTGGAGGGGAATACTGACCTTCTTTCCAAAGGCTCTGGAGAATAGAATCTGGGGAAGGAATACCAATCTCTACTGTAATTGTGTAGTGCTGCTGAAGTCTTTTATCTTCTACACATGTAAAAATCCTGTGAAGTTAAAAGAAGGAAAAATGTAGTGAAAATCTTTGGCAATGTGTTGTTTGATGATATACATTCATCAAACTCATATATGCGAGTTTCCTGAGCTCATCAGAATTAGAAAGCTGAAGTTTAACCCTGGTTAAAACATATTTCTTTTTTTTAAATTGAGGTTTCAGTTTTTCATTGACAAAGTTCTGCCCGAGTACCGCGACGCCATCATGTCCCACACGCTCATTTATGTCCCATCCTACTTTGACTACGTGCGCCTTCGTAACTACTTCAAGAAAGAGGACCTGAATTTCACTCACATCTGTGAATACACGAAAAAAGCTGCTGTCTGCAGAGCAAGGCGCTTCTTTCTCAAGGGAGAGAAGCAGTTTTTATTGTTCACTGAACGTTTCCACTTCTACAAAAGGTGAATTGCGGACCAAGTTTTCCCTCTGAGTTGTGTGTGTGAAGGTAGAGTCTGACCTTAGTCATAGATGGGCTGTGCTGCTTTTTGAATCTGTTGGATCCCTCTGAGGACTTCTTTGACTGAAGTCAGAGTTGTTAAGTTTACTTTTAAGTTTTTACCTTGTCCAGTCCCTTTGCAGAGACTTTAGTATTTTGTTATGAGCAAAGCTTTATTCAGGAAGGTAAGTGCTGCCAAGTTCCAGTGATATCAGGACAGGATGATATTGCCTGCAAATGGCAGGCCTTTTATTGGCCTATTTATTTTTGGGCCTTTTATTTGTGTTCATCTGTGCCACAATAATTGTATAAAATTTTGGAAATAGTATATAATTGATTAAATAATACAATACAGCAAGCTGAGACCGCCTGGAAAATTTGCTACATCCTGACTGGAGTTGTTTACAGATTCGTAATGGAATAGGATTTTTTTTCTGTTAGAAGATGTTTTAGCAAATACAAAAAGTTTCATTAGGCTCAGTCTGATCAGGCTGACTACTTCGTAAATTGGTGGTGGTTGGTACTTTAGAGGAGGTCATTGTGCATGGCAGTGTGAGCTTTTCCCCCTAAATTCTACTTCTCTCTTTAGTCTTCAGTCCATGGCACAAGGTTTGTGAAGTTGAGCTACAGCTGATGTGCACTGGGGTTGATGGAAATTGGAAGACTCAATAGAGGATTGATGTTTTAATGTGCATATTTTGTAAAATTTGCCTCACATTTTTTGGTTTTTGTTTTTTCTACTGCAGGTATACAATAAAAGGCATTAGGAACCTCATTTTCTATGAATTACCAACATACTCCCATTTCTACAGTGAGATTTGTAACATGCTGAAGGCCACAGACAATGGGGTGGATGCTACTTGGACTTGTACTGCTCTCTACTCCAAGTATGATGCTCAGAAATTGGCTGCAGTGGTTGGCATAGACCGCACAGCTCAAATGCTACAGTCCAAGAAGAATGTGCACCTCTTTGTTACAGGAGAAAATGATTAAGTGATTCTACAGACTGGATGATAGGATGGACCTGCATTTTATTCCTAATGCAGATTTTTATATTGCTTTTTAAAAAAGTATTAAACTTTTAACTCCCTTTTGTTAATTATTCTGTTGAAAATGTTTGTATAGTATTAAATTTTGTATTTCAGTACTCTTTCCAACAAGAAATGAAGGATGCCATTCAAAAAAGCACAGCTTAGGAGGTGTTTGCTGTGAAACAAAATCAATCCAGAACTCTTTTTCTTGTATATTAAAAAAATCATGGGTCAGATTCATGCAGTGATAAATTGTCGCTGCTGGACACGAAATGATTCACACAGACACAGCTCAATGTGTGATAGGAAAAAGAGAGCGATTTATTCTGTGGTTTCAGTATTTATAGATACTCGACAACGACCAGGAATTGGATAGTCAGGTTACCACCTTCCCACCCACACTGGTCATGAGAAACGTCCATCAAAAGACATTTCTTTAATGGAATGTATAAACATCTATGTTTATAGTTACTTTCCTGGGAAAGTGGCTAGAAACTATGAAAACAAGATCAGAAGGCTTAATTCTCAGGGTGACAATAAATAGCTTTTGATTAGACTGTTTAATTTCATTTTCCAGTGTAGCAAATGCACCTTCGTTTCTCAAAGAGAAGTTTTTCTTGTCTAGGATAAGAAAAATGCCCATATATTTAATGAGTCACTATTCTGTAAGCCTACACAAGGGAGGTGCAGGCAAGGCCTCTACAGCACAAGTGTGTTGCTGAATGAGAGTTGGACTTGCTTCAAGTTGACACTTGTGAGAATTCTTAAATGTGCTTGGGTAGGAGCTATGGGTTTGTGTTTTTCTTGGAGTGACCTAAATATCTCTGCCTCCTATTTCCAACAGACCCTCTGGCTGGTCAGTTTTACCAGGGATAAGTACAAAACTTATCTGCAGGGGATGCAGTTTGCAAATGCCCATGGAATGGTATCTGGCAACACAGGTGGAGGTGAGGTAGTTGGTTTGTCTGGTTTTTCTCCTGATGGTTGCATGGACAACATGGAAACATTATGGTGCTGCCTTTTTCTTTCTCTTCTTCCAGGAAGTTAAGTCTAATTTAAAAGGAGCTAAAAGTAGAAGGATTAGTTTTTGTAAGCACGTGCTAGGACTGCAGGAAGATTGTTCTCCAGAGGGGCAGGTGAGCCCTGTGTCAGCCCAAATGCAAGGAGGAAGTATCCTGTAATAAGCTTTGATGGAATTCTTGTCTAGGAGGCTTAAGTAAATACACCAAAGTGAAAGAGACTCCTTGAGTAAATGAGGCACATACTTTCTGCCAATTTTTGTCATATTCCTGATTCCTATACTCCTCAAAGGCTGTGATCTCGAGTAGTTACCATTTAGTAGACATGAAATCCCATGCAGTTTCTTGCTTTGCGTTTTAAGCCATGTCAATTTTACATACCTCTGCTGTAGCACAGAAGAATTAAGAGCCAGCCCCAGCAAACTTTTCCTAGTGGACGATCTGTCTCCTGTACAGCACAGAGTAGTGGTGGCAATCAAGGGTTTTTATTGTATGACCCAGGCTGGATGTGGAAGAATTATGGCTGTGCATATGAAAACAAGCGCACAAAATAGGATTAAGGAATTTCCTTTCTACACCGGATGTACTTAGCAGAGATAATAGCTGACCTCTGAGGAAGGTAAAGTGGGATAGCTGCTTAGGGAGATAACATGATGCAGTGCAGCTCCTGTTTAAAAAAGCAGCAAGAGTTTTGTGCCAGAGCCTTACCTCTGCAAGGATTTTTCTGCCCACATTGAAATTAGAAGCAAAGTGCTTTGATGGGAGTAAGGCCAGACTGTAGACTGAGGCCCTCATGATTTTTTTATCAGCTACCTGGGTTTGTTCCAAAGACAAGCATACTTGGAAATTTGAAATGTGTATACCAGTGTCACATTTCTGATATTGGTGACTAATTATAACTCACTGATTGCTAAAGCAGTGTGTAAATGCCTCTTCACACGCTCAGAGTTGCCAGCACAGAGCCTTGGAGAGCTTGTGCATGAGGGTTTTGTGGCCTGACAAATTCTTACTTGCCTTAGTAGGGAGCCTCATCAGCCAGCGCTGATCCTAGGCAGGAATTCTGCGTAGCAGCCTGTGGTAGCGGGTCAAACAGGTTTGCTGATACGGGGAGCTCTCTGTACTGATACAAAGATCCCTTTTTTATCAGCTTAAATAATTCCCTGGTGCAGGGGTTTGTTCAAGACTGGTTGTTCCAGAGTGAGTTACTGGGGGATGGTGAGCACCAAGGTCAGAGTTTGGCCCATCCTGGATGTGTGTTCATGGACACAAATGCTTCATTTGCTGGGAAAACTGCTGGCTCCAAGCGAGTTACTTAGAGCCCTTCCTCCTGGTGATAATGTGGCTTTCACAGAGGTGGCTGAACCTCATGCATTTGTGTGGGGACACTAAGTTTTAGAAATGGAATTCAAAGGAGTGGGTTTTTTTAAACTGTTCAACCCTTGTTCAAATTCTGACATAAATGGAGTAAGAAAGGTGTTAGCAAATACAGTATTTTACCTGTTTTTACTTGACAGCATGCAGTCTGCACTTTGCCATTTTTTCACAAGAATGCACCAATGATGAGTAATTACGCATCTCAACAAAACAAATGTAAAACAATTTCATTTTGACCTCAGTACCATACCTTTGTGAGGGTGATGGTATCCTTAAGAATCCATTTTTTGTTCATTGTTTTAGGAGGATCTCAGAGTACTGACAACTAATGCTGTATTCTTTGGGAAATGTGCTTTACCATAGTGTGAGAGCTGACTGCCTGTTCCAGGCCCTGGCTGCTAACACACAGTGGTGCCAAAGCATTAGCACCTAGCTTTGGGAAATTCAAACCCAAGGGTAAAAATAACTGGAGTTAAGCTGTTAAACAAGAATTTCTCCTTAGTATCTCCTGCTTCAGGAAATTTCTAAGGAAATCTACTAATGGATGACCAAGAGAAAGACATACCTGTCTCTGTAGGAAAATTGTTCTTGCAGCTAATGAGTTCATGTTCTAATGGATCGTTTTTTCACTAGCACAACCTAATCAGCATAAGAGGTCTACATTTTGTTGCTCCTTTCAAAGATGACAAAAAGGCAGGTTTTTTTTTTTCCTCTGAAAATGTGTTTGCAGGATAAGAGCCAGCCTTCTGCTGCTGCCAGTATTAATGTGGAGGAGGGAGGGAAAGGTGACTTGGGGACAGTCTGTCTCCACACTGGAGAGCTGCCTCCTGTGAAGAGGCAGGTTGTTGGTTTTGCAGCAGTTATTGGGAAACATGGGACAAATCACATGAGAGAGAAACTGGAGCATTCTGTTAACAGCAGCAGAATTAACAATTACTTTACAGCTGTGCTGTCAGAGGCTGCCAGGGTTTCTCAGCTCTCCATTAGTCATGCTCCATGGCCTCAGCCCCAGGAGTTACTCTCCAGGGTTTGGGGTTTTTTTGAGCTTGGTAACCAAGCATGTCTGATGAAACAGTTTGTGGAGGGAGCAGTGGAGAAACCATCACGGGGGGGATGCATGAGCAGCCTGTGCAGAGAGGGAGAGGGCTGTGAGCAAGGACAGGATGCAGTCAGGCCCTGCTCTCCCCCAGCTGCCTGGGCTGCCCCAGTGCTGTCCTGTCTGGAGACAGCAGAGGACTCCTCCCTTCACTACAGGGGTCTGGTCAGAGAGCTCCCACAGTTCTGCACTGGGAAGGGAGCAGGTCCCTGGGGAGGTCAGTGGGATGAGCCTTCATCTTCCCCTCCGCAGATGCCAGGTGACCCTTAATTCCATAGGGAAGGTGAAGGTGCTGCTGGTGTGCTGGCTGAGCTGGGCCAGGCTGCAGCCCAGGAGGGAGACACAAAGCCAGAAGTATGACTGGAAAACACCACACAGGATTTAAGATACACATGTATTACTGGAGCCAGAGCTCCTCCTGGCCAACAGGGTATTTTTGCCCATATTAGATCTAAGACATAGTTTAGTCCCTGTGGTTTAAAATATCATCTGTGCTGACCTTGACAGTAAAGAGTAATTAAAGAGCCCAGGGCTGATTGTATATTAATTAACCATTAGCTTCAGTGGTGCTTGAGGGTTGCTTGTTTTATCAGTTGGACTGGGAGTCGGGCTGAGACCAGCTCTGGGATGGATAAACAGCTAACAGGTGTGAGCTGGTAATGGGAACTGGTTACCTGAAATGGAGAGGAGGGAATGGCCATAACATTGAGTGGTGTTTAAGGAATAAATATTTGATTATGTAAGAGAGGTGCAGGAATCACAGTAAAGGACATGAGAGAGATGAAGGTAAGGTACAGAAAAACAACACAGAACAAAATCAGGATTGTAAGCATGGAGCAGTTGACAATATAATTATGTAGCCGCAACTATAAACAGGAATTTGGCCTTGTTCTTCCAGACAAAACAGGAAAATCACACTGAAGTCCTACATGCTGTACATGACATTACATTTCCAGGGTCAAATCCTTACCAGTGACAGTGGCATAAATCTAAAGAGATGTTGCCAGAATTGCTAAAACATTATTAGCCCCTCTTTTATGCCCTTACAAAAGGGGGACTTGGTAGCTGGGACCACAACTGAAAAACCATGACCAGTACCTTGTTATTAATAATAAAGAAGCAGAAATTTCCATTTTATTTACTTGCCCTGGGTGTCACGTGTCAAAAGCTCTCACTGCCATTTAATTAATGTTAGTAAACAATTACTATTTAGTTTTTAAAAATGTATACTTTTTAAATTGAAGTAGGAAAAGCAGAATCAGTTTTGTATGAAGTCATGAGCTTTGATATTACGTGAATAAACAGGAACCAATTAATATAATTTATTTGTACTTTTACAAGGTTTTTGAGAAGTCCCTTGATAAGGGGGGGGCTTCTGAATTTTTTGGCGAGGCTGGAAGGATCATGGCTGCTCATTGCAACAAAAACCTCTAAGTTACTTCATGCCATGTTCTCTGATGACTATCTCTAGCATGAGCTATCACATTTCCCTTTCAGAAATGTGAACAGAATAATGTTTTATTCTGTGTGTTCATCTGGCCCCCACTTACTAGCTTAATCACAGAATTAATGCTCCTCTAGCCTGGGGAAGAAATTGAAAGGAGGGGAGCATACCTGGCCTTGCAGCCGTTTGGAGCTGGGCTCAACAGGAAGACATGTCCAGAAAAGCCCATTGGAGCATCAAGAAATGGATGATCAGTCAGGAGGTGTCTTTGGGAAAAGAAGCCTTGTGGGTTCCTCTGGTGCAGCCAGT